ATTATTAAATGTATGAATGTATGTATGTATAATACAGTAGATGTTATTGCTAAATTATATTAATAATAATTATGATAGGTATAATTAAGTACTTATTATGAATATTTTATACAATTACTTTCTATTCACCTAACAAATTCATTGAACATTTTTATTTGGCCTTTGGCTTTCAGTTTCCATGGCAAATAAATTTTACTGGATAACACAATAGTGATTTTGTTGTTGCCTAATTGATTATGTGATATCAAAAGTACCACTTTTTTTTAATTTTATGAATTGTTATGTACAACATACTAGAAGAGGGGTGGGGGGCGATTTTGGGACAATGTAAATATTATGTGTAATCTGACCGGATTTCCTTAAAAATTAGTTAATTAATAATAGTCTTAATTGCACTATTAATACCTCATAAATTTGAAAAAAAAAAAATTACTCCAAAAATCTATAAATTAATTTACTGTGTAGGTGTATGTTTTTAAATCAAATTGTCTGATCATGAGTATTAACGAAAACGACTCAGTCTGTCAAATAGCCGAAGAAATTTAATAAAAGTATTACTTAATCATTGTTAAGGGGATTTTTTTTAATAATTGTATGGACCATACGTCGAGCCTGTTGTGTAGTAAGGAGCAGGATAAGCCTGTGGAGGGGGTACAGCGTATCCTGCATACGCGTACTGCTGCTTTTGGGGGTAAACTGAAAAAATAAAAAAATATTTTAATCATGTATTATTAAAAGTGTCTTATAACAAAATAAAAATAAATGAAGATCGTGTATGAACTTAGGGTTTTGTAGTCATTAGGTATTAAAAAATAAACACAATACCTATACATTGTAAGTGGGCATTTTATAAATTGCAAATATTTTCTGAAAAAGGACTAAAGTAGAAAGAGCAAAGTCAGTAGAATAAAAAATACATAGGCAATTAAATAGTAATTAAATGCACTAATGAGATATTAAATGCTTTGGTTACTAATTACTCTCCTAACGTAAGATTAAGTTAGCAGGGTATGAGCGAAAAAACTATTTAAATAATGAATTCTTATACTTAGATTTTTTGGTCATAGTAATTAAATGCTCATTAAATGTTATCCAAACAGACGAGTTGCGAATTAAATGTTCTAATTTGTTTTAAGCAAATATTAAATTAGCACAGCATAAGCAAAAAAAATATTTAAACAATGAGTACTTACAGTTTTTTTTGTTATAGTGATTAAGTGCTTATTAAATGCTACCCAAACAGACCAGTTGCTAATTAAATGGTCTAATTTTTTTCAAGCAAATAAAAGACTTCATAACATAACAATAGGTACGTTAGCATGCAAGGATCAAAAACAGGTTTAGGCAAGGAAATTCACTGTTTCAGTTATGAACTCTTTAAAGGCTAATTAAATGCCAAAATGACTAATTAAATACTTCGGGCAGTTTATTGAAAAATCTTTGTTCTCCTAGCTTAATATTTAGTTAGCAGAACATGAGCAAAAAAGTTATTCAGACAATGGATACTTACAGCTTTTTTGGTTATAGTGATTAAATGCTCATTAAATGCTATCCAAACACACAAGTTGCTAATTAAATGGTCTAATTTTTTTCAAGCAAATAAAAGACTTCAAAACTTCGACAATTGGTACGTTAGCATGCAAGGATCAAAAATAGGTTTAAGTAAGTAAAATTACTGTTCAGTCATTTACTGTTTAATGGCTAATTAAGTGCCCCAATTATAAATTAAATGCTCCGGGAATTTATTTAAACAAAAAATTCTGAATAATACTTATATAGCTTGCAGAAATTTTATGGAAATAACAAATTCAAGATCTAATTAGGTGTAATATGAATCGAGTCTGTTGTTAACTTAACTTGTCGAGTGTTAAATTAACACAATTGCAATTCATTTACGCTTAAATGAAGAATAATTAACTCCTTACATTCAGCATGTACAAATATAATGATTCTTCATTTATTTTTATTGTAAGGATAGTTTTTGGAAGTTAATTAGATAGGTACAAAGGGTACATAGGGCTAAAAAATTATGACATCCTTGTAGTTTAGTTTAAAACCTGCAGTAAAGGGTAAATTGTTACGGTTAAGGCTTAATATGTATTATTGCAAGACGACCTTTAACGAACTGTTTTTCCTCTGCAACCAATCCCAGCAAAATGTTTCCCAAAATTCCGCATGTATAATAATATAATACGGGGTTCAACCTTCAATTTTACGTGACACGACCTTCATTATTTTACAGTGGTACTAAAATTATAAAATATAGCGGTACTTTGTTAGGCAGTTACTAAAGTGATTGGTATTTATTGCTATGCGTGTGAAAAACTGCTATTATTATACCATTTCTGGAGAAAGTAAAAGTAAAAGAAAAAAACGAGACTTAGCTTCTCCTTAAGACAGTGGCGGCGCATAAATGTTAGCGGATGACGAAAATATCGTGGATAGAGACGGTTATAGATGAGGAGGTAGTAGAAAGAGTAGGAGAACAGAGGGCGGTATGGAATTAAGTAAGGAGAAGGGGTTATAGAATAATAGACATAGAGGGTTGGTTAGAGACATATTAGAGGCAGAAACAGGAGTAAAGAGGGGCAGAATATAGGGAAGAATTTATGCTTTTGCCTGATTTGTGTTAAAAATGCCATTAAAAATGTTCTTTTTAAACAGCTCTACCTTTCTGAGGATACTGAATATGACAATGGTCGAAACGCTGTGTGAAAACAGTCTCGTTAATTTTTGTTACTTCTTTCCCGTTTCCCATTATAGGTAGGTACTATGTACTCTAAGGGGGGGGGGGGGATTCTAAATCCAAAAAAAAGAAGCGTGCGCTATTCTGAAGCTACGCTAGGTGCAACATCAGCAGGGGTGGGGGCGATGTCGATGTTAGGTTAGGTTACCGGGCATCAAGTATTGCATGTTGATGGCCTCCTCCCGTTCCCGTTCGCCTCTCAGACAGACGGCGGCTCCGGAGAACAGAACAGCCCCTAGCAACGACCATCCCACCCCGACCCACGCGAGCGCGTAGCTCCAGTCGTAGAATGTCCTTGCGTTTTCGCGTAGCACCTATAAAAAAGATAGAAATGCGAATTTTCGAATGAAAACTTCCAACGAACCTGGCATTATGTATTGCACGTTGTTCAGTTGTTCACGTTCTTTCTCGCTGCCTAGGCAGCAGGCGCCGAACACGAACAAAAACGACGAACACAGCGAAAACATCACACCCAGCCATGCAAGCACGAAACTCCAGTCGTAAGATGTCGTTGTGTATTCTTGCAGGATCTGCGCATGCGTATTAAACATTTCAATAAAACAAATCAGAATATCAATACTGCTAGACAATTAAGAAAGTATTGCTGTTTTCGGTATACGTCTAGGTGTTATAATCTCAAGCAAAGAGGTTAAGGGTGTTTTAATGATTTAAACTGCGGTTATACAATATTCCTGTTCACGATACCTATTGCGATCTGTCAGATGGGCGGAGCTTAAAAAACATGGCTGAAACAAGTACGTGAAATAGTTCACGCCTTGAACTACCAGATGTCGCATCTTCATCTGACGGATCCCAATAGCTAAACGTTAACTATCCGAATACCAAATGTAATATTTGACCATCTCACTTAATGTTTAGCCGTATTTTACAGATAGGCTTTGACATCAATATCGTGTTGGTTCTGCATATCCGTTACTTTCTTTTGTGCCAACATTGACAGTCAGTAATCTTTGATGTTTAAGGAATTTTAAGAAATTATATTTAATATTATATTTCGCATTAAATTTAAAACAAAAAAGATTTTACTTACGGAATTCCATTGTTGATAATATTCTTCTCCTACCACCTTCTCTTTTTCATAAAATTCAACTGCATGCCATAGACCCATGGCCCCCGCACTCAGCAAACCTAAAATTCGTTATTATACTTTAAAATTAACAACAGTAGAACGTAGCTGCTCAATTCAAATTACATATATTTTTTTTTTTGTAAAGGTGCCCTTATTTCAAATTTACACGATGCACTTGCTAAATACACTTGGTGTGTTCGATTATTTTTTTGTCTATTTGGTATATTAGTTGTTTAATTTTCAAAAATTCAAAATTAATTTTATTGTATCAATAATTTACTTAAGAAGGGAGTGACTCATGGATGCACACTGTTATCGCTACTTTTTAATCTATAAATTGAAAACGCAATCAATATCATTAAAGACAGTGCAACTGTAGGGATAAATATAGAGGATCAAAAGATTAGTATGCTTAGATTTGCAGATGATATAGCAGTATTAGCATCTAGCAAGGAGGACCTAGAGATAGCTTTAAATAAAATGGAAGCGGTATTGACAAAACAGTACTGTATGAAAATAAATAAAAGTAAAACTAAAATACTGATATGCAAGGGAAGAAAAAGTAGGGAAAGAGCGAATATAAAGATAGGAGACGAAAAATTAGAAGAAGT